TTTGACTTTAATTGGACTAATTCGAGTTTGATTATATTATAATTGACCGAGATTGTACTAATTTGACTTCAATTGTACTAATTTGACTTCAATTAGATTAATTCGAGTTCGGTTATATTATAATTGTGCTCAATTGTACTAATTTGATTTTAATTAGACTAATTTGACTTTAATTGGACTAATTCGAGTTTGATTATATTATAATTGACCGAGATTGTATTAATTTGACTTCAATTGTACTAATTTGACTTCAATTAGATTAATTCGAGTTCGATTATATTATAATTGACCGAGGTTATACTAATTTGACTTCAATTGTACTAATTTGACTTCAATTAGATTAATTCGAGTTTGATTATATTATAATTGACCGAGATTGTACTAATTTGACTTCAATTGTACTAATTTGACTTCAATTAGATTAATTCGAGTTCGGTTATATTATAATTGACCGAGATTGTACTAATTTGACTTCAATTGTACTAATTTGACTTCAATTAGATTAATTTGAGTTCGATTATATTATAATTGACCGAGGTTGTACTAATTTGACTTCAACTAGATTAATTTGAGTTCGATTATATTATAATTGACCAAGATTGTACTAATTTGACTTCAATTGTACTAATTTGACTTCAATTGGACTAATTCGAGTTCGATTTCAATATAATTGTCCGAGATTGTACTAATTAGACTAACTAGAGTTCGATTACAATATAATTGACCGAGATTGCACAAATTTGACTTCAATTGTCCTAATTTGACGTCAATTGCACTAATTCGAATTCGATTACATTATAATTGACCGAGAATGTACTAATTTGACTTCAATTGCACTATTTTGACTTCAATTATACTAATTTGACTTCAATTGGACTAACTCGAGTTCGATTACAATATAATTGTCTGATATCGTACTAATTGGACTAATTAGATTTCGACTACAATATAATTGACAGAGATTGTACTAATTTGACTTCAATTGTACTAATTTGACTTCAATTAGACTAATTCAAGTTCAATACAAAATAAACAGATTTTCAAAACAGATTTTTATTAAAAACGGATTTTGAATAAAAAAATGTTTTTTATTAAATAAAAATAAAAGTTTTTAAAAAAATAAAAAAATAATTGTTTTAAAAAAAAGTAGTTTTTTAAAACGGATTTTTAAATAAAAATAAATTTTATTTCAAAAAAATTAAATAAAAGTTTTTTTTATTAAAAATATTTTTTATACAAAAAAAATTAAATAAAAAATATTTTTTATTTAATAAAAATAAAAATAAAAGTTCTAAAAAAAAATAAAAAATATTTTTTAAAAAAAAAAAAATTATTTTTTAAAAACGGATTTTTTTATTTTTTTTTTAAATAATTTTTTATGCAAAAAAATTTAATAAAAATATTTTTTTATTAAAAAATAATTATTTATACAAATTCTTTTTAAAAAATTATTAAAAAATAATTTTTTTTACAAAAAGAATTTAAATAAAAAAATATTTTTTTTTTATTAAATAAAAATAAAAATAAAAGTTTTTTAAAAAAATAAAAAATAATTTTTTTTTTAAAATAACGACTGTAGATTCGTTATACCATACAAAATAACGATTGTACAATCGTTATATTGAAACGACTGTATGTCGCGGCCGTGACAGGTGTCGCGGTAGCGACACTGGGCCCTGTTGGTTGGACAGAGAATGTTGCCAGGACGTCGCGGCCGCGACAGTCGTCGCGCCAGCGACAAGCAAGTTTTTTTTTTTTTTAGAAATATCGTGTTAAATCTTTTTAGATTCTTTATTTTACATGAAAATTGGCTAAAATTACACCGAGAACGAGCTTAATATAAATGTGTACCAATAATGATTGAGGTGTCGATTAAGGTGGAATTGGTCGAAAAACAACTATAACGATTATATATTCGTTTTTCACTTAAAAAACGATTATACAATCGTTTTAGTTATTTTCGGAACAAAACGCAATTTTTTTTTTTGGATTTTTCGATCGAATTACTTGATAAGGCATGCATATTCATGATTCGTGTCATTTGAACAATAGTTTGAAGGTGTTGGAGCGTCCAAACAATGACAATGGATCTCTTTTTTAAAACACCAACATGTTCTTTATTTTTTTTTTTTTTTTTGAAAATTAGAAATATCATGTTAAATATTTTTAGATTCTTTATTTTACATGAAAGTTGGCTAAAATTATACCGACAACGAGCTTAATATATTTATAATGTGTGTCGAAAAACAACTATAACGATTATATATTCGTTTTTCACTTAAAAAACGATTATACAATTGTTTTAGTTGTTTTTCAGAACAAAACGCGATTTTTGGCTTGATAAATGAATAAAATTATGCCTATAACGAGCTTAATATCTTAATAATGTATTATATGACGATTGAGGTCTCGATTAAGGTGGAATTGGTCGAAAACAACTATAACGATTATATATTCATTTTTTACTGGAAAAAACGATTATACAATCGTTTTAGTTATTTTTCGGAACAAAACGTGATTTTTTTTGGAGTTTTCGATCGAATTAATTGATAAGGCATGTATATTCATGATTCGTGTAATTTGAGGGATAGTTTGGAATTTTTGGAGCGTCCAAACAATGACAATGGATATCTTTTTTTAAAACAC